GGAAATTCGTGTGGTTTGAAAAGTCCCCTGGGTGTGCAAAGGAAGGAGAGCTCCCAGGAGCCCAAGAAGAAGGTGAAATGCTCTAAATGAAACCATCTCCTACGAGATGAAAGGCCTGTTGTTCAGATGGAAGGTGTTTTTAAAAAGCTTATGGAATTGCACAGGATCAGAGAGCTTTCCTCCAGCTGCATGAAATTCAGCAGTTCCATGCTTGATTTAAGAGCAAGAGCCTGGCTGCTCAGCATTCCCTGCCCCTCTCTAACTTACCACTGAAAGGAGTCAACCTGACACTTAAGAACCTCTGCCATAGGAAACACTTGGATGCTCCTTGTCCACCAGGGTGGATTAGTTCTATTTATACAAGTTTAATCCTTTGTCATATGAAACAAGCAACACTGTAGCTGAAAACAAAATACAGGATTACCCTATTAAAATGGTGCACTGATTACAGGCACTGCCACTTCATTCCTCCTGTGACTTTCTTAACAGAGATAACCAGTGGTTTTTAGGTAAACTGGAAACCTCACCTTATTTTTCCATACTTTCCCAAACTGTTATGCTGCTTTGATGACTTGAAGGGAATTCTATAGGTGTTTTCTAAGGCATTTAACAGGACTTAACTTAAAATCCCGAAAGCCTAGGGGCATGGTAAAAAGAAAAGGAAATGAAAATAGCAGCTCGGGATTTTTGGTATGTTTTCCTCTTTAATTCATAAAGAAGCTGTTAGTGTTATGCTGACTCCTGGCTGAGGACTTGAAGATTTTTCTGTTTCACTGAATTTATGCTCATGAAGGAAATAATTCTATCATAAAAAAATAAGGAATTTTCCCATTAAGATGGATATAGCAACCTCAAAGCAATCTCACACATCCTGCAAGATCAGAGCTTTGCACAGGAAATATCCCCTGCATCATATCTATCATCTCTTAACAGACTCCTCTGACTAATTACAACCATTCTTATAAATATCGAATATGAAAACAATGAGGAACAATTGTATATCCATAATCTTCAGTTTGTTTCTTAGTAAAAGAACCTTCAAGACCATCTTTAGTTTCAACAGCACAAAGATCATTTTCAAGTGCCAGCATCTTATCCTGGGGAGGGACTGCTAAGCAAAAACTCATGAAACATTAGTAGATACAGCATTTATCACTGTAAAATTCCCTGGAGAACTTCTCAGCATAGACATGCTGTGATGGGGGCTGTAGGTCCACGATGTAGGTCACTGGCTTTTTATCCTACAAATCACTCTGTACAGGACAACCCACCAGCCTCCCAAACAAACTATTCCTATGCTCTCACCTGGGTAGAGGCTGCAGGAAAATTTCAAGTCTGCTTTTGACTTATAAGCAATTCCCTGTCTCTCCTGCTTACTAATGCCTCTGAACAGGGGCTTTTCTTATCAGACAGTCCCTTGAGTGCTTTTGCATTGCCCAGATTTGACAAAACCTGGAAGAAATAAAAGCAGCTGCCCAACCACAGTACCCTCGGTAGGCCTTAAGTGCCAGACTTTTGCTTAGGCTTGTCTTTCACAGCTTCAAAGGAAAGTGTGATTCTTTCTAGAGCCCAGCTGTGCATCTGAGATGATTTCTTTTGAGCAATAATACTAATCAGAAGTACATTAACTTCTCAAGGACATACTAGCTTCTGAAATAAGCAATGATTTGGACAACCCCTTCACCTGGTAGGGGATTTTAACAGAAATTTGCACTTCCCCTCCCGCTTTTCACAGCCAGAAGGACAAGACAGAAGTTCTCCTGCTGAAAGGAATAGATTGCAACTTGCAGCCATGAAAAATGCAAAATGTATGCGGATGCTATAATTGCCCCATGACACATCCCATTACTCCTGCTTGGGGTTATGAAGACAGTTTAAACGTACAAATGAGTTCAGAAGGTATTTTGCAGGCAGACAGGCAGCTGGGAACCAAAGACTAACAATTCCAAAACTCAGTGTTCACATGTAAAGGACAGAAAGGGAGAATACTACTTATCTCATAACTGAAAGATTAGATTTCTCTTTTCCCGTGCATTTTTAATGTGCTTACAGGGTTTCATGAAACAGAACTCCCGGGGCAGGGCTGGGGGCACAAGGAAGTTGTCTGTGCTTGGGAACTGCCGGAGTTACAGCTGTGCAGTAGAGGGGAAGACATGCAGACCTGTCACCAGTCTCCCATGTATCACACTGCCATGGAGTTCTAAAGCTCTCCCAGCCCTTCACACAGATGCAGATTCCTGATGAAGGTGACCCCACCAGCTCCAAGGTAGGTTGCCAGGGCAGTGGAATTGCTTCATCAGAGAAACATATGGTCAGTCTTTTGCATCTCCTTGCCAGGTGTGATACAGTTGTTACAGGTGTGCTCTGTGTGGCAAGCCAGGGCTGGTTGTGCAGCATCCTTTTTGCAAGGCATGCCATGAAAACCAAATGCTGTGGGCAGGGAGTGCTGTGGTAACAGTGTGCTGCCAGGACCACAGGACACTACTCCTCTGGCTTGCAGAATCCCTCACCCAAATACAGAAACTGGGACTGCAGCTGTGGAAAATGCACATCTGAAGCATCTCTGAGAGCTTCAAGCTGAATTCCTGATGGTCTGACTTCTTGCTCCCTTTTCAAAGCCACTCCTTCGTTTTAGTGTTACTGTTCTTTTAGCAGAGCCACTGCATAACTGAGTATAGATCAAGTCTCCAGTGTCAAAAGTGGTCATCTCTCACATTTGTGAAAGGTGTGGATGGCCAGCAGGGTTGGAACAGAAGCAGGATCTCTGAACCCATCTAAAGTCAACTCAGCTCTGAGCCTGCTCATTAAAGACATTTTTCTAGTGAGAAGGCTGTTGTATCAATTTTGTGCCAAATCAAGGGTTTGATTAATGCCTGTTCTGACTCAGAGCTCTGAGTTCAATCAAGCTATACAAGTCATGAATTTAGCTCTTAACTTTCTCCACAGAGAATACTGCTTTGGAGTTTTTTTGATGCTGCTTCAGTGAACCTCTCAATTTATGATGCATCTCACTCCAGCAAAGCCTGCAAGCAGACACATGTGGGAAGTATGTGAGAAACTGTTGAGAGAAGAACTGGACTGCTTCCATACTGAAACCATCACCAGCCTCTTTCACCTGACATCCTTGCTCCTGTTTTATTCAGTGGTAAACAGAGGGCTCCTTCAAGCCCTTGGCTTACCACAGCTGAAATGATGGCCAAAGCAGAGACTCCCGCTGCCTTCCCTAGAAACTGAATCTGTGCCGTGGGTAATGGTTTGTCCCAATGGCAAAGGGGGGATGAGACAATGAGTCCATCCCTTCTGTAACAAACATGTCCACTGTGTCCAGATTGACTAAGGATTTTACCAGTTATGAGTGACATCTGCTTCTGAGCCCTGCCCAGAGATCTTACTACTTAACATTGGTTACTAGCCAACAATTGTCCCTGCTGACTTCCACCAAAGTGGAAGTCTCTCCAAATTCTCAGCAAAACCAGACTGTAGCCCCTGCACATATACTACGGCCAAGATTTTTTTCTCTCATGCCCTGTTTTCAGAGTACATTTTTGATGCACTTCATCTGACCTACATTTCCCTCTTCCAGGCCTGCTCTGGGACCTTACTGGACTTTGCAGCACCTCTTTCTCATGCTTCTTTCCCATTAGGGGAACAGTTTGCTTCTGGCTGGGGACTTACACTTTGGCTAGTTCCCAGATCTGTTGCACAAACATTACCTGTTCTGGATTTCACACCAGAGTGATGGTTTGTCTGAAAGATCCCATTTGCCATTTATCCTACTTCTGCTAGTTTTCCAGCGCACATCCTGCAATGTCCCTTCCTAGCTCCACAGTGCCAATATTCTGATCATACACAGCAAGGCTCCCACATGCTGTCCCTTTTTAAAAGCCCAGTTTCTCAGCAAAACTTTTCAGCCAACATTTGATGAACATCGTAATTATTCCTGCCACCTTCTGCAGTGAGAATAAACAAACTGTATTTCTCTCCCTTGCATCAGTTGATGAGCAAATTTACATTTTTCAGAAGGATCTGCTATGCGAGATCTGTCAAAGCCTCTTTCTATTTCTCCTTCATTTGCCCCTCTTCTTAGCAAATTTTCAGCCTAGGGATGGCTTAAATAATATATCTCCAAATCCAGGAAGACAATGGTAAAGGGTTACTGCAAGTCACCCTCTTCAAACACCGAACAAGAGACTTTATTTAAAAATAAATAAAAGGCCTAGCCTCCCTACTATACTCTGTCTGTACCCCCTGGAAATTGCCTGCCTGGAAGCTCATGCAGCTCCTGGAGCTTGCCTTTCAGAGCAGACATCCCCACAGGGACGATCCCAGGATGTCTTTCCCGACATCTCAGGCCAAGAAGCACAAGCAGCCTGTGAATCCTGGCCATCCATTGCTCTCGCTCAGCAGGAGTGGCCTGAAAAGGACCATGGCTTTGCTACAACTGCTTTGTAGCCCAAACAAGCAAGCGTTTGGCTTGCTGTGAGCCATTTCTCATGCACCCTTTTCCTGCCTCCTCCCTCAGGCACACTGCTTTCACATCAGAAATACTCCCCCAAACACTTTTGGAGTTTCTTTCTTACACAGCCTCTGCAAGCCAAGAAAACCGCTCAGATCTATTCAATAGATTCATTCCTGACAGTCTTCAAAGGATTGCTAATTCCAGTCTGCTTAAAAAAATGCAGGGCATTCCTCCTCTTACAGCTTTTCTGCCTTCCCTTCTTTCTGTAAGTCAGCACCTGTTGAGCCATAAAACAACACACTAGAAAAACAGTGCACCTGAAACTGTTTGAAGCTTCAGGAGCTTCTGCTGTGGGCAAGGAGATTGGACACTCCTTGGGAGGGCAATCCAGCTGCCTGTGCAAAACCAGCTTTCTGGAGGAGAGTGGTTCACCCCTGGCTGGCTTGGATTAAGGGCTAACAAGGGTTAACAGTGTTTGCTCCTCTCGCCATCTCACCCCCTCCTCCTCCTCCTCACTGTGCATTTCAGTCAAAGACCTGCTCCCTGGCCAGCCACTGCCGGGATTAGGCTGCTCCAACAGTCTGGCTGACACTCTGTGCAGGAGCAGGGTCCGGGGGTCTGGAGGCAGCACAGCCGAACTGCTGCGCAGCCCTCCAGCAGGAACTCTAGAACTGAAGGAGCAACAGTCACCACTCTGAAGATTTTAGAATTATGCAAGTTTAAAACAACCTTTGAAAACACCCAACTTAAGAAAATACCACATTTCTGGTGGTTTTTTGGTTGTTGTTGTTTGGGAGTTCCCCCCCTCCTTTTTTTTTTTTTTTACTTTTCTTGGAATACTGCAAGTATTTTAGTTACTATGCCTGCTGAAGAGCCATATGGAAAAATCGGTTCTGTCCTGTTAAACTGGTTGCACAGTTTTGATTTTCATGTGCCTACAGAGATCTGAAAAGTCTATGTTGTTTCATTTTATGCTTTTTCGGCAGAGAGGGCAAGTGGTCTGTGGATCATCTGGCCAAGAACACAATAGGTAAGCACAGTATTTTTTGTGTGACATGTTTCCAAGAGTCTGAGAATATATTGTTTGTGTAATTGGGTGAAAATTACCACAGCCTTTAGGATGATGTTCTCTTTGGGATAAGCTGATTATAGGTTTGTTGATCGCTTGGTTTGTTTGTTTTCCTGGACAAGAAAAGCTGAGCTGCTGTGGTATCAGTGTGGTTTGCAAGATCCTGTCATTTAAACAGCAGAAAGACTTTTTTTTTTTAATCCTCTCTGAAGGGGCAGAGCAACTCAGATTCCACTATCAAAGGTAAAACAAAATATTTGGGGTTATGTTTTAAATCTGTAAGCTATTATTAGACTACAAGAATAACAAAGTGGCAAAGTGACTCAGAGTCATAAGGAAAGCTCTGTTATAAGAACACTAAAAATGGAATTGATATAGAAATCTTAACCATTCTTTCAGCTTGTTCAGATGAGGGTTTTATCCTGCCCTCAACCAGGTGCTCAAAATATTACAAACAGGCAGAGAATATATCAACTTTATTTGGATGTTGAGAGGGACATTCAGATGATCTAGCAGTGATAATTTCCATAATAATCTCACTGATACTAAAGATGTGCTTTACTTTGGGAATCGCAGATTTTGTACATAAGAACCTACAGATGTATTCCATAGTATGTTTAAATGTGCATGTTTGAAATAGATTTAAAAAGGAACAGGTCCTTTTATAAAGTCACTTTAATTGCAAAGGATAGCGGGTCTGTTGAACTGTAGATTTGACTGCCTGAGATGTTGTGCACATTTGCAGGCACCATGAGGAAAGGGCTGATCTCAGAAACAAGTAAAAATTACAAAGAATTGAGCCTTGTCTTTTATGTTCTTTTCTATCATTAGCCAATAATCATATTTAACCAGGATATTTACTCTTTGCTGCTTGTAAGATGCAATAAGCTACTTTTCCCCCAAAAAAGGGATCTTGCTCACAGAGCTCCCTCTGCTTTCCAAATCCCTGAGCTACAGCTGGCACCTGTGTTAAAGGTCTATGCCCTTTCCACTTCCATACTTTCCTTTTTCTGAAACTGGATGTGGCAGACAAAAGAGTTCTAAGCATAATCAGTAACCTCACACAGTAGTATACTGTCAAATTCCTTCTCCTAACCGTAGTGTCCTGCCTGTGTGGCTTTGGGCAATGTACACAACCTTTTAAATAACATCAGAAATAATGTCAGCATTTGCTCATGATTTTGGGGACTGGTTGTGTACTTTTCTCTCATAGATGCCAAGCTGATAATAAAGCCTCCTGGGAACACAGATACACTTGATTTTTTAAAAATCTCTCATCAGAGTGAGTACAATATAGTTGTTCCTGTGAGCAGCAAATGCTGAGACAGGCTGGAAGTGATGCAGGTATGAAAATGATGGGCAATACAAAAACCTAAGAACAAGAGTACTGCCCTACAGTAATAAAGCCTTCCTCCAAATGAGATACACAAAGTGCTTAGAATCTCCTGAGTATCAGTTTAGGGATTCTTATCCAGGATTCTCCACCTTTCATCTAAAAGTATCTTACACAACTCTTAATAAGTCATGCTGATCCTCTTCTCTGCACATAGAGAAATAAAAATTCAACGATCTCCGACCGACCAGCAGCAGCAGAGTTTGGGATATAGTGACCTCCTGTGAGTTTGAAAGTGACAGCTCCATTACAAACAGCTCAGCCTTGAAATTTAGGAAATGAACACTATAAACTACAAAAAAAAATATTTCTGGTGTAATTCTCCACTCATTCTTTCAGCAGTAAAAGATTTTTTATAACTGTCTTGTGATATTGTACCTGTGCTACATTGACCATATTTTCTGTAACAAAAGACTTAATAGCAGCTTCTGCCATTAAATCTTTATAGAGAATTCCTCTGAGAAATATTTGTGTGAACTTTAAGCAATTTAGCAAAATGGAGACTGGCACTCTATGAATGCCTAACTTGCTGTGATTATGATAAATACCAGTAAAGGCACAGAGAGTGTCACTGACTATTTTCTCCCCAGTGACAGCAGTTTCGATTCACTTTTGTCATCTCCCTTTGCAGTATTGAAGATGTCCTGGCTCAGGTTTTATCTGCCTCTCCATGTTCTCATGGCAGCTTGCTTGTGCCATTCCATAAAAGCACCTACCACCAGTTCCCAACAGAGCTTCAGGACTGATCTCTTCAATTTCTACCACTCCCTGATACTTGCTGATGGTAAGGAAACTACAGTTCACCTGATGAAGGATATACCCAAAAGGTAAGAGCAGATCAGCCACTCCTGTTCTCAGAGACTTCCCTGTGGCACTGGTAGTTGCACACTACCAGCACAAGCCAAGAATCTCTATGCACCTGCAGAGCTCTATCAGTGCACATTGAATTCACAGAAAAAGGCCCATTGCTCAAGTGTCATTCCATTGCCCAGAATCTGGAATGAGCCTCTGAGGTGATGCTTAGGTTCATGTACACACTTCAGGCAGCTTTCTGTGGTGTTTGTCAGAGCAGCAGCACAGCAGACACACAGTGGGTGAACCCGAGCAGCAAACAGTTGTGCCACAAACAGCCTGGCTTCAGGACTGTAGAGACATCAGCTGTCCTACCTTCATGGTAAAATACAATTTTACCTAGCAAATTAACTATCCCCAAAATCAACAGAACATCTGCACAGATATCTTCTCAGAGAAACTTCTGCCAGTGTCCTGCATGCTTGGAAGTGTTTTTGTTGGTAAGACCAAAAACACTTCGGATGTGGAAATTCCACGGATTCTTTGCTTCCCCAAAATATCTGCAAAGTTTTCTGCCATACCTGGATATGTGGGTGATCTGGATATTACAACTGGTGCTGTATATCTTGGGCAGCAAAGATCAATCTGCTTGTTTGGGAAGAGAACAATTCAAGGGGTTTAATCTGACTCTACTTTGGGCAGTGACCAGCACATACAGATTTTGACGTAGACCCAAGTGGTCATGGAGCAGAGGGTGAGCCCAGATGGTTTAGTCTTCACATGAATTGCACACACAGAAACTGGAACATGGCAATATGTTATATAATGTGATGATGCTCACAAGAGCAAGGAGCTCTCCTTGTTAAAGGAAAAGGGGTATTGAAATCTCAGAGACAAGGGAATTTTTCTGTGCTCTTGGGGCATATTACAACTGCAATTAGGAGGCAAAACCCCTCGAATTTAGCATGATCAGGTAAGGTTCTTACGAACCCCAGTCATCCAAACAGAAAGCCAAGAGATGGCAAGTTTTGGCTTAGAGTAAAAGACTCAAGAATGTGGCCCAGTAGCCATATCTTGAAAGTAAGCCAGACCTCTAAGCTTACATGATCTATCCATAATGACTAGGCTTGTCTTCCTAATAAACAAAAAAACCCCTTGAATTGCCTTCATTTAAGTGCAGAGTGAGTGACCCAAGTCCAAACAGTTCTGTGGCCATACACAGTCTGTACAAAAACAACAGAAATAAACAGAGTGAGACAGGAGGTTGAGCTTTTTTTAGGCAGGAATCAAAGCTGACCAAAGACACTGATGTCACTTTGCACTGCTCATGCATAGCAAATTGACACAAAGGCAATTAAGGTAGAACTGGCCTGGATGAAACTGCCATTTACATCTACAACTGTTCAGGACTGGCTAAAACCAGTCTGTTACATCTGCTTCATCTGACACCCGGGAAGACCTAGATATGCAAGCACACGTGAGGGAGGATAGGGTCTAAGAGCCTTCACTAAACTCCAGTCAGGAAACCCTGGGGATAAGTGTACCAAATTCCCCAGAGTTAGGTAATGGGGGGGTTATCTAAAAGGCAGTTCAAGCTAAACCATATCCATCATCCAAAATCCCCAGCTCAGGACTGAGATATGATATTCACCTCAAGTGTGCTAAAATTCAGAGGGAAGAATATTGCCTAAGGTACATGAACAAAGCTTTCAGCAAATATTAATCATTAGGAAAAAAAAGAAAACCCACAGCATGTATTCCTCCCACAGCTGAAGATTTTCAGGCATTCACATCCCTTTGTGTGGATGCACCTCAGAGAGCAATAATCATTTCAATACCACATCAGAGCAGCTGATTACAAGGCATCTCATGCAAACTTGAACTGCCTGAGACTTTCCCTCTTTCTAATCCACATTTACAGGTACTACTTTGTTTTGGAAGAAAGCAGAGTCCTTTCACCTTTCACAATAACAGTGACCCCATGTGATGTTCCCATCGAATGGAGCATACTTGTGCACAAGGCTTCAGCAAGTTTCCCAGGAAAAGAAACACAAGGTAAGACCTTCAGCACACAAGGTAAGACCTCTGTCAAAGCAGAGGCAAAAAAAGTGTAAGTTACTCACAGGTAATTGTGTCACAGGAAATTCCCCACAAGCCTAAACATCTCACACTTCCCTCTCCTGTAAATTGCCATGGGCTCACCCTGTTTCCATGGATGAAACAGGGGAACCCATCAGATTTTGCCCTCAACTCAAGTAAGTTAAGGATTATATGTGAAAAAAACTCTACATCTAAGGTTAATATTTGGGAACAACTGTGGGTCTTTGAGGCTGCACACAGATCAGCTCAATAAGCTCTTTGTACTGGGCCAAACTTCCCCCTGCTGCCTCAGCTCTTTTTCTGTGGCTTAGGTCACTTGAGACAATCATTTGCTCCCCACAGCAAAGAGGAGAAGATTTATCCATTTCTTCCTCTAGGATTATCATCCACCATGGCAGTGGGCATTATACTGCCAGTAGCCTAAAAGGCAATTCCTTTCTCTTGCACGATTTTTTGAATTAATGTTTCAAACTAAGAATCTGAAAGCTGCCATTAACAAGTCTTACCTTTCAAGCAGGTACACCTGATCAAGTTCAAATTATGCTCCCATGTTTTCCTTCTTCAAAAGAGACAATGGCACAAAACTAATCCAAAGAAAGCCCCTATTCTAGAAAGAGTGAGTCTCCTCAAAGTGAAGTACCCTAAGGGACAGCTAATGGAAGAAGAAAATTGTAGGGACATCAGGCATGATACAAGTTCAGCTTTTGCAATCTGTGGTTTCATAATAACAGTGTTTTTGAAAACATAATTCTACAGCTGCACAGTGAAAATAAAAGCTTCTCAAATTTTATTTTAATAAATTGCCAGTAGCAACATACTTTTACTAAAACATATTTTTAGTTATAATTATTGTTTTCAAGAAGAAAATATGATGTTCCCTAACATATGAACAGTAAAACTTATATGATGTGCTTTATTTCACGCTGGTTAAAACAGAAGTTACAAGTCTGCTTTTTGCCTGCAGGTGACCATGATACACAGGAGGTCTCAAAATCTCAGAAGGCCCCAAGCATGGTATCCACCATTTTTAACTACAAGGGAAATTCTGTAGAGACTTACATGGGTATGTCTTCCCATTCTGCCCTTTACATGCTGGAGTTCTTATCCACTGAGCGAGACACACACATTACTGTGTACCTAACCACTGACACAACATCTGGGCACCTCTATCCTGAGCTCCCAATGGATCCACGCATAGATGTTATTGGAGTTGGGCATACAACAGTGACTCTGACCTGGAAACACAGTCCTTCTGTCCTGCAACATAGAGAAAGCATCCAGTACTGTCTCCTAGTCAATGAGAAGCACAACTACAAGAGCTTATGTGCTGCTGAGACAGCAATCAGGTCCTCTGGAATGAAGCTGCCACCTACACTGGCTTTGTCCCTCTCTCCCTACCTTCTTGAGCCACAGCAGGTGATGATCCTGTCCAACAGTGAACTGAGCATCATCAACAAAGTGAGCAGTGGGGAAGTCCGGCAGATCTGCATGGGCACCAAGAACACTTACACAGTGCCCAACCTCAGCCCCAGCACCCAGTATTACTTTGATGTTTTTGTTGTCAACCTCCTTACGAATGCCAGCGCCGCTTACACCGGGACGTTCGCAAGGACCCTGGAAGAACCTGAACCCAAGGTGACCGAGCTGAAAGATGGCAAAGTGATTCAGGTTGTCCTGGATGGGAAAAAGCAGAAATCCTACAGCCTGCAGTACCAGGCGAGGCACAAGAAAGTGCAGTTCTCCTTTCAGCTGTGTCATGGCCAAGTACGGGTTCACATAACAAGGAACGGCAAAACAGTGGCATTGGAAAACATCTCAGGGCTGAAGTATTTCTCTCTGAAGGGAAAGCTGTTGGACACGTACCTGGTGCAGCTGAGGTCCACAGAGGAATCTAACTCTTCTGTGAAAGTACAGGTGTCCCCCCACTTCCACAAGCCTTTATTCCCGCTTCTTCCAGAGAGCTTAAAAATCAAGTCCTTCAGTAAACTGAGAACCTGCAACTCTGTGACCATTGCCTGGCTGGGAACACAAGAGAAGAGCAAGTACTGTGTGTACAAGAGAAGGATTGAGGAAGGTCAGGTCTGGAGGGAACTGCAGAGTGCAGACAGGTGCTCTGGACCTGAATCTCGGCACAAATCAGAGAAAGTGCTGTGCAAGTATTTCTATGATCTGAATCTCCAGCGAGCCGTCACCACAGAGACCATCAAAGGGCTGGATGCAGGAACTCTTTACTTGTTTGATGTTTACCTCTTTGGGCCATCTGGCATCCCTGTCAGATATCACAGCAAAGTCGTGAAGACCAGAAAAAAATGCTGAAGGTTTTAAAGAAAAGTTTTGAAGTGAGTGAATGAAGACTTCTCAAAATCTACACCAGTCCATGTCATAGCATGTGAAGTTTAAAATATGCTGAGACAGAAAAAATATAAAGCCATGAGATTCTACAGAGGAAAAAAAAAAATCTTAGTTGTCTAGATCATTACACTTACTTTTACATCTCCTCTCCTGTGTGGGGTGAGGTTTTTTCTTTTCCTATCTCATTCAGACACCAAAAACAGACCTGTGAAACAAACCCACATACGTGGAAATAAAATACCCTAATGACACCTATGAAAAATAGATTGGTTACCTAAAATGCTTCTGAAATCCAGTACAGAAATGATGGGAAATGCCTCACAAGAAGCACACATTATTTTCAAGTTCCAGAGATTTTTCCACTTTCTGTAACTCACTGAGGTAATGAGGAACTGAGAGACCCCCATAAGTCAGGCTACTCTTGAGAAACTGAACTTCCTCCCTGCTTGAACAGACATGGAGACAACAAGAAATTAAAAGAAGCAGTGCAACTGGTGTAAAGCTCCACACCTCGAGTGAAGCAGGCTGAAATACACCTTCCTCTGTTACCTGCATGTTTCATTTCTATAGAGAAACTGTGCTTGATTAGAAACATAAAATTCAGGCCAGGAACTAGCTCTGGATCCAGCTTTTCTGGGAAGTATACAAACATACTGCTGTGCTGCTGCCCATTGAGGAAAGCAGCAAGTGAGGAATTCTGCCACAGAAAGAAGATTTATCTATAACCTCAGATATCGTGCTCCTGTCTATGACTGTGTGACTCCTGAGTGTAATATAGTCATTCTTTACATCTTTAAATGAGCCTATATCAACGAATGCATTGCTTTGAGAAAAAACTAAATGTGGTTTTCCTATTAAATATCATGGAGGAAAAAAATATTTGTAGTAAAAATCCTGACAAACACTTCTTAGTTGCCTTGTTTCCTTGATTACCTTCCTTAGATGACATGAGATAGTAAAAAAAAAAATTTTGAAAAAAATTAAACCCCCTTGTGCTTAAAGTCAATTATCAGCAGAAAATATTTTGCACACAGGCTCTAGAATTTACATATGAAGAGATACGATAGATCTGCTGACCTTCCCAGAGGTTGCAAGAGAAACCTTGCCTGCAGTAATTCTTTTTTTCTACAATTACGCTAAGAAAATATATAAATTATTAGTTCCATTATTGTATATTTCAGAAGTTCTCTTGCACTTCAGGGCCATTAAGGTTCTAGTTTGAGCATTTATTACCTCCAAGCATGTTTGGAGGCCTCTGGTAAGGACTGAAATCCGTCCTGTGTGCAGACACAGAGGTTTGTGTGTTCCCTGCTCCAAAGACCCTCTAGCCCTGTGCACACACCATACATTAGCAGACTCTTCAGCCCCAAATGAGGGGCTCAGGCCTTCACAGGGGAGCAGCTGCAATATCTGGGCTTTGGCTGGGCCTTACATTCCTGCAGGCACCTCTCTGGACTGAGCAGTGCCACAGCAGGAGCCACGTGCTCTGCAGCCTCCTGTCCACACTCCACGGGCCTTTTGGCTAATTACAGGGGCTGGCAGTTGCACTGCCTTCATTCCAAGGCAGAGGTCCTCTTCATTTGGCTCCTGCCAAAAATATTCTGAGCTCAGAGGGCAACAGAGGTCATCTCCACTTGGAAGTCTCGATGTTTTCTGCCTTCCTCCTCCATTTCAGGCATTTATATGCTGGATGAATTTCACTTAGATGCCCTACAACTGACTGTAATAACCATGATAATAATAGAGGAGGAACAGGAAGATCTGATTAACTGCAGATACAATATATTCTTAATCCACTGCCCTCAATCAGACCATTAACCCTTGCTTTTGCCCTCTACAAACGCTACAAAAATGTCACTTGGCTGAGGAAGATACATCAGCACATTGTCCAATATTGGTGCTTCTACTGAAGAAGGTTTTTTACAACAGAACTGGCTTTGGACTTCTGAGCAAAACCTTGGTTTTGTGCTGTAGCCAAGAGGTCTGAGGAAGGTATAGGAGAGCCTGGCAGAGGGCAGAGAATTTAGCAGTCAAAGGTGACAGAGAAGCAAAGGCTTGGTGCAGCACCAAGTTGACTGACAATTAATCAGAACCTGGAGGGAAGGAGTTCAGGTTTGGAGATCAGCAGATATTTCAGGGGGACTTTGAAAAGAGCCAGAAGATACTCCTATTCCCAAATTCACCAGCTCCTCTACTCCACCTCTCCCTGGCCATTGTCACATGCAGAGGACTGGCTGAGGCAGAGACAAGTGGGAAGCTCTGAAGACAAAAACTTACAGCTCCTGCAGCCCAGGCTGTGCCCCAAGCAGAGCAGTGACCACTGCAGCTGCTGGGGGGGGCTGATGCCAGTCCCTCACTCAGGAGGAGCTGCCCCCCACACGTAGCAGGGACCCCATCAGCAAAGGTGCCCGTGCACAGGAGAGAGAGCCTGGATGTAGGGAGGAACATGCTGTTCTGTCGAGACTCATTGCCTCTAATGTAAGCAGAGCAGGCAACCTGCCCTGCAGGTAACAACCCACTTTGCTTATGTGTGCAGCCAGCCATGCCCTGTAATACAGGCCCCAGGAGCAGCAGGGAATATTCCTCTCTGTTGATCTTTCCACTGTGATCCTGCCTGTGTGCACCAGGCTGCAAAACTGTTATCAGCTCACTCATAACTGTGCTTATGGGGCAGCCTTTGGGTGCACAGGTTTCAGTTGGGTGTCACTTTGCTGACTGCTGTCCTGGAAGTTTGAGAGGTTTATCCACAACAAAACCAAAGGTGCTGCATTACACCACTGGTGCTCTTCCCACCCCTTCATAGGCAATTCCTTAAGTTCACATCTCCCCACCTTCAGCACTCAGCAGTTCTTTTCTTTCAAAGCTGCTTGGCATCTTTAATTTTTTCTCTTCTTATTTGACTAGTCCTTGCCTATTGCAGTCTGACCATAAACATTTCCCAAGCCACATTTACCTACTTTCTTTTCTTCATGCTTTCAGCAGTCCTTGCTCAATTTTTAGGGAAGCTCAGTTCCTTCAGTTGAGCCTGTCCTAAGCTGTCACCAGCTCTTCCCATTTGCTCCCCCCATCCTTGCTGAGTCTGAGTCACCTCAGAAGTGCAGAGAGATCTCTTCACGGAGAACATCTCAAAAGCAATGCTTTGCTCTTGTGGATCATTTAATGTAAGTCAACATTGTTATCAGGCCAAAGTATTTTTTTCTGGTGTTCAGTAGTGGGTCCCAGCTTTTTTGTATTCTTCCAGCTAATATCCTGTCACAGCCAAGATTGAAGGTCATGCACCTCTTCCCAATTTTTACAGAATTTCTACCACTGTCTCCACATGGGAAGCGGGGATCAGGGTACCAAAAGCAGAGGAGATAAGAGAAAACAGGTTTCATTACACATCCACTTCCCCTGCGGGTTCAGCCTCACAAATCAAAACTGGCACTGGTGAAATGAGGTGCTGGTGTCTGAAGCAGTGAAATAATAGAGCACAGGCTAAAGTCTGCCATTATGCATGGCTCTTGGCCACACACCAGTACAGGGAGGGGCTCTTCAGCATCACCTTCCAGGGTTTCACAACTGCTACTGATACAAACTTGGAAATATAACCTAACACAGTAATAATTGCTTTTTTCATTTATACACTTTGAAAGATACTGCTGCCTAAAACCAGTGTAGAGGTTTCTGACACTGGGTTCAAGGACTGATGACATTTATGAGTTAATATTTAACTGACAACAAGAATAATCTATTTCATCATTCTTTTTCTCTCCTGTATTTAACAGCCCATTTATTCATTCATTCCCTATTACTTTGAGTTTCCTAACAAATGTAAATACCCTTCAAAGTGAATCTGGAAGTTTTTTAAGAACTTGTTCCCCATCTGCCCATATTGAGGGATGCATTCACAGCTTTAAGGATTTTTTTTTCCCCAATTTCATCTTTGTGTCTTTGTATCTTTGCATGTATTTTTCTAATGCTTTCCCACTTGGAAGACTCCCTTCTAGCTTAAGCAACATGTTAAGATAGTTCTGCTATTTTGGCCTCAGGTGCTGGAGGGAAATCCTGCTCATGATTTGCTTTCAGACACAGAGCTGATGTTTACATGTATACACATCACCCCCAGTCTGGGTTCCATTATTATTAGTTGTTGGATTTTGCAGGTAGAATTTAGGAACCACGGACACTGCAGTTAAACATCCTGGACACGTGTGGCTTTGCACAAGGCTTAAAATCTAATTTTGAAAGTCAAATAATATTAGCACTGACAGCAACTCCAAGCCAATGACCCCAAAATGCCAAAGGCTTTCAGGTGCTCTTAGAGCAACTGAAGCTCTCTGGCATTTAGAGAAAAAAATGGATGACTTGGCAACTGAGTAGTCATTCAGCAAAATAATCCATCCAGGTAAAACAAAATAGATGGTGTCTTTAGGGATGAAGATGAACGAAAGATGCACAGCTGCTCATCAGTGTCACCTCTCCTGCACACGCTGGATTGAGAAATCAACAGTGTAACAAAGCACAAACAGGGCAATGTGCTTCTCTTGCACAGCAACAGGTATTTCCTAGGCGAGTCTGTCAAGGAATATTAAACAACAGCATCGTAAAGAGCAGCTAAATTTACTAGAAGAGGCAAACAAGTGTGTCTTGATCCCGCCTTGCATTCTTCCGCACAGAAACACGATGTAATTCAAGGATGAGCCCAGAGGACACTGGGCTAACAACCACCGCTGGCATGAGCCGCTGCGCTGTCGCTCCAGCATCCCGCGCTGCTGGGAGCGGGCCGAGCATCCCAGGCAGCACATGGAATGCTGCGCTGCCGCCAGGTCTGCGGGCACGAGAGGGCACTGTCAGGCTGGATGAGAAGCGGAAAGAGCTGACTTGATAAGGCTTATCAGGAGCAAACATTTCAGCAGATTTAAGAGGTCAAGTATCCTTTTGATAATATTATGAGGCAGAATGGATGGAAGGAAAATCCAAGGAGCTTACATTTTATTTTCTTTTAGCCTTTCGAGTCTTCAAAGTTTGAGGGGTTTTTGTTTAAAATTACAGTGCAGAAAAGTGACAGCCAAGGAACAATAAAAGGTAGGCACTTGCTGAAAGGACTCCAACAGCAGTGCTCCCACTGAGATGTTCAACACTGCCACTGCTGATGGTACTAAAGCAGCTATAAAACAGAAGAATACTGTGGTGCTGAGGACAGTTACAGATTTCACGAGGTTAAGGTGGGGAGCCTT